AAAAATTATAATGAAATAAATTAAAAAGTGCAATTTTATTATTATTAAAGATAAATTAAATAAATTACAAAATAATAATGAAATAAAATCAACTAAAATATAATATTACGGTATGCATACCTTAACGCGGAGAATATTTTAAAATCCGTTCCACAGATCATGCTTAATCTTCTAGTTCGTTAATGTCGTCACGACCGCCTGGATGTCCTCAATCGACTCAAACTGGGTTCCTTTGACCACTGATTTTGTTCTAGGGAACAAAAAAGTCACATGGTGACAAATCGGGCGAATAAGGCGGTTGTTGCAACACGGCGATCCGTTTACGAGTGATGTCTGGGCGCACCCTGCTGACTCTTTTTCGCAATCTTTCGAGTAGTTGGCGATATTAGACTTGATTTACGGTAGACGTGATTTACCGGTGGAAGAAATACTTTTTGGACGATTCCACGGCTATCAAAAAAGGCAATTATCATTCGTTTTTCCATTTTCGTGACGGACACCACGAGCACACGTTTACTCAACACGATACAGCAGGCGAACTAAACAAGCTAGAGCGATGTCGCGAAAAAGGTCGCAGGTTTACCACAATCACAACAATATAATAAGTCTCACACCTCGTATGATTCAGTAGGATCATACAACTGAGTACACTGACGTGTGTGTGCCCGGTTATAGTGTGTCAAGGGTGGTGCCCATTCTTCTCTTCTTGCCGACGAGGGAAAAGTTCAATATTCCTATCTCTATTCAAACTCCTTATATTCGTGCAACGACTCCTCCGGATACCATTAACCACGCAGCTATTTGTGCCCGAAGAACGAAAATTTTTTAAATTCTGTGTTGAGCCAACTCGGTCGGATGAGCATCAGCAGTCAGAATCTCGTCGAAAAAACTTAATAATGTATATTCTTCTTCTTTTTGGTATAAGTACGGCTTACACGTCTACAGCTGAGTCAAACACAGTGCACCAGTCGTTTATTCTTTTAGACGTTTCGCAACAATTAGAGGTACCAAGTGATGTAATGTTCCAATCCGCCTGATCCTTCTACCCGAAGGGAAATTCTTCCCTTTCGTCTACCTACCACCTAGAGGCTAGTGACTACTTCCATAGAGCTAAAGTATTTTCGTCCATCTCGACGATGTACAATTCATCGTTCCGTTGCCACTCATTTGTAGATAAACATAAATCTTCCGTGAAACCCTCCTCGCGAAGACATCATCATCTTCCAAGCTTCTGCACCATTTATGGGAACGAAAATGGGAACTTTACTTTAATATTTTTTATTTAGTTCAAGGCAATGCCTACTGGCGAGAGCGATTCGGCGTTGGATTCCCCAGCTGATATTATAATGTATCTTCCAGTATAAAATCGGTGTCCAGACATTGAAAGAGAACTAAAACGAGTTCATACAAATAAGCATCTACTTATACAAATGCATTTATGTTTGTAATGTGTAACTGATACAATTGTTGTAAGCATGATTTAGCAAAAATTACTTTCCCTTATTTATGGATGGACGAAAAGACGGACGGACGGCTATTCAAAAGAAATTTATTAATTTTTCATATGCATTTATAAGCAGCCATAAATAGCTATGTATACATGTACATATTGGATATGTATGTATATATCTAAGCTATCATAAATAATAATCGCATTCTGTCAATGATTGTTGATTTAGCAAGCAGCTCGATTGAGCGTCAAGCACCAAACTGCATCTGTTTCTTCCGTATATTTTTGTGCTGTTTTTTTTTTATTTTTGTTTTTGTTAAGTTCAAAATTTTGAAATGTGTATTTTTATGATTAATGATGCATTTGACGATGCAAGCGTCCATACATATATGTATGTATTAAGTCTTGTTAAATGAGATTACCCGTCTGCCGCTCATTGAGCCATGCCAGCCAGTCAGCGAGCCACATTGCATTCATGCAATTATCAAGAGACCAACAAACGGCCTTATCTACACACATATACTTACGTATGTAAGTACCAACACATATTTAGCACGTAAGAGCCCGCTGTGCCATTGCTCAAGGTGTTTTAGTTTATTATAATTTTTTCTTTTGCATATATCCCAGAGTTCCAGCTTGAGCCTGTCGGCCTTCTTGTGTCCCATCTACAAACGGTAGCGACTACTGGGCGTTGTTTTAGTGCATATATTGATATTTATGAAATATAAAGTGATCCCACAGTCCGTTTCGTGTATTCCCATAGCGCTACAAATCTTAACAAATACAATAAATGTATATATACATATATATATTTATTTTTTTTCCAATTCTAGTGGCAAAAATTTGGGCATAAATATTATATACAAATATTTTTATTAACGTGTCTTGCTGACTTTCTATAATTTTATTTATACAACAAAAAAGAATTGATCACTCTCTTGGGCATAAATTTGGACGCTGGAAGCACGTAGCACGTAATCGTTTTGGTATTGAATACACATTTTATCCTTTCTATATTTGCACTTGGAAAGGAAAAAGCGTCTTTTCTTCTTTCTGTCAATCAAAATATTTACATGTTTGCATTTACCTTCCTTTATTTGAAATTTTTCCCACTTTTTGATTGTTTGCTTTTTGGTGTTGTACACAAATGAGCAATGCAAGTGGTTTCCTGGAAGTGTTGCTCTTGAAATTCCATAATTTCATGTTTTGCTTGATTGTGAATGCGAACGAGGTTTTCATTGGACGCATTTTGCTTGATGATTGATAAGCAGGAATATTTTTTGGGGAAAAAAGTCGGTATTTATTCTCTCTAAAAAAACCAAGGAGCGAAGGTCTCATTCAATTATTGCTGCAATAAACAACGCAAAACGGCTCAACTCTTTTTTTAATATTTTCAAAGTATAAACACTAAGTTAAACTCATTTTTGAAGTTAAAACTATATTTTGAACACTGGATTAAAAGATAGAGAATTATCTTCAAATACAAATTAAAAAAAAAAACATTTCGAATTCAATTTCAAATTCTGCACATGTTTTTGGAACATTTTTTGTTCTCAATCCATGTGTCGGGCAACATATTAACGCTTCGGAAATTACAGTTTGGCACGAAAAATGTTAGTACCAATTTTTTTCCGCGACTCCGTCCGCTTGCAATTTAAAAATGATTCTAATAAGATTTTTTATAATATAAATTATTATGCTAAAATGTGTGAGCGCTTATAAAATATTTAAATTTTTACCGCATATATACGTACATATATCCGCCTTGAGTCCACTTCCCAGAAGTGCTAGTCGAACCCTAAGAACGATATTTTTCGAAAGAGATAAAGCCTAGTCGTAATTTCTCGTAGTAAAAGGGCTCCTTACGCAACTTTAGGCAACGATCGGTTTCAGATCCACTTCCCCGAAAATAATGTCTACGTTATAGGCAGAACACGTGGCTTAGGCTGTGGGTGGATTCTTCAGTCACTCATGACAAAGTCACATTATATTATATCAAAAGTCACAGCGGTTTTTTTTTTTAATTTTTCATTACTCAAAATTAATTTGACCATTAATATATTACTAAGACCTTCTGCCATTTTATGGGAAGCTTTAGTCAGCTTCTGTTATTAATAGACGAGAATTTTCTGCGACTCTTCCGTCGGCCACTTTTTTGTATTATCAAGGAAGTTTTGTAGACACCGAAATAAATGGTTGTCAAACTCCCCAACCAAGTTCCGTAAATTCCTACCTGACCGTCAATGATGTGTGATGTTTGGTATTGAGTATTTCTGGATAAACTTTTGCAGCTCAATTTTCATCCAATCCTACTATACACTCATCTTTGAATGAAAAATATTTATATATTTCATATCAAGACTATCTGTCAATATCTCAAGTTATAAAAAAACTTGGAATAAGTCGATGCGTGGTGTGAAATTTCTTACAGAGCCTAAGGAATCATAATGTTCTGAAGTGAGTCGGGAGACTTTCTCACCGAGATCTGCAGAAAATGATTAGATTGATCACGAATCTTACCAGGCGTAGCGCCAGCTTGGCTGTAGCTGTGGAGAATAAAGTGTCATTAACAACAATTATGCGGACCCTGCAAGATCGATGGCCCAACTGGTTTTTAGTTCTATTGGAGAGATTTGGTTAGTGGGACTTTCACAGTAAAATCTACGCCCAAAATGCAAATCATAGCGTCTTGAATTAAAAGCAGGGACCGCATTAATGTTTTGGAAGACTGCCCTTACATACTGCCCTTTTTCGAGACTTACAGGGAGGTGCCATAAATTTTCCATTCGGGTAACGACCGGACTCATGTATGCAATGTAATGTAGTAATGTAATGAGTATATTTTTTGCTGATTGCTCCATGGAAACAATGGACTGTTCGGTCTGCTCTCCGCAGTTAAATCTCTTACAGAACATTTGGGTCATATTAATGAGAAGCGCTGATGCAGATAATCATCAATTTGACAATACAGATGAGCTTAAGGCTGCAATTACATATTACCGAGCGATCTAACGTGGTTGTGAATCTTTTGAAGAATTTGATTGAGTCGTTGAAAAAATATTGTTTAGCATTGCAAGAGCCAGTTTCACATCTCTTGGTTATTATTGAGTAACATATGGAAAAAAAGTTCTAGGGAAAATGTTTTCTTAATTAATTTTAACGTCAGTAAAAAGTGTCTTATCATTTTGAAACAATCTGTTCGAAAAAATATTTACTATTTACTATATAGTAAACTAATGAGGTTTTCCCCAAAGTGCTACTCTCCTGCTGAATTCGTTGGTCAAAATATTTAAAAGAAAGCTAGACAGTGCCTTATTGCGAGTTCAGAGCTTAACTGTAGATATAAAAACATTATTTTAATTATTACAACTGAGCTTCTTACAGATTAATTAAAATAAATATTTTCATATAAAATAAATAATGTAAAATATAAAAAAAAGTATTTTACTTACGGCATAAACACGGTTCTGACATAATTTCTACAGAAAACAACAATTCCAAAATATTTAATTATTCAAATCTGTAATAATAAAACTTTCATATATTTTAGGTGAATACATACGCTTGCCGCTGGACGAAATTCTTAACGACGTACTACAATTGGCTGAATTTGGCAATCTTAATAACGAGGTAATTTAGCAGATTTAAGGTTAAGAATTCTTATTTAAATTTAAATCTAGTTCTAATCAACATTTTAAGCTGGATCTTTAATCATTACATTCTCAAAAAAAAAAAAATAACTATTCAATCAATTAATTAATTAAATAAACATCCGTATATCTCGGTTCAATAATAATCATTCAATTTGGACGTATAAGAATTGCTTCTAACCCGAACACACCTACATACGATCCATGCGTATAACCAAACCATACGAATTTCTGTCGATGATCTCTTTCTCGTAAAGAAAGTATTATTTATTGTGGTAACCATGCTACCCTTTCCCTTCTCGCGGCAGCCTTCTCCTCTCCATTGATATATTTGCCATCGCTCTAGCTTGTATGGTTCCCCTGCTGAGTAAACGTGTGTTCATGGTGCTCATGCCGAAAATGGAGAAACGGAATCAAGAGCAAAGCGTCGCGATAAAATTATGCGCCAAATTGGGCGAAACAGCTTCGAAAACGTACGCTGAAATTGAACTAAACCGAACCATAAATATGTAATTTCTATTAGATGGATCTACTTAAAGAAAAAAGAAAGAAAATCCACCTACTTACTGAATTCCAAGAGCCGTAGTCGAGCCATGAAATCCATTTTTTCAAATAATTTGGCCTCGGGTCCAGATCCCAGAGAGAAAAGTAGTCTGCCTTTTAATCTAAGCAAAAAGCCACCTTTGTACCGAATTTCAATTGAATCCAACCATACTAAGATTTTTCCGAATAGGACAGATTTTTTCTGGTTCACATTCCGAAAATTTTTTTCGTGTAGTTCTTTTCAGGCGTCATAGACGAAATTTCAAATGAATCTGTCGGTAACTTTTCGAGATATTCGGATCTTTAGATACGTAAATAAGATTTTTATGTATTGTTTTCTTCCATTTTGTTTCTTTTTTTGTCTTAATTATCTACAGCCCAATAACGACGACTCATACGCTTCAACATCGAAAGCTGCAGCAGTCAAGAACGACGACGACAAACGCATTACCAAATCGGAAACTAGCGAAGACGAAGGTATCAACGACGATAACATCACTAGCGCACGCTTAGTTAACGGTAAAGAAGAAACAGAGAAAGATTCAAATAAGAAAACGCTTGCAACATCAACGACTGACAAGGATACCAAACTCGAGCGGGAATCGATCAACGAAAACGATTATATTGACGACTTTGATTTATCGTTATCGGAGATCGAAGTCAACTCATTGCCATCACCTTTGTTCGATTTAGATGACGAAGCACGCGAAGAATTAGCCGATTTCGATATGATGTTACAATCAGCTGCAGCGCCACCACCAACATTCCATCATCATCATCCGCATAGCCATCAACGCGGTGCCGGTATGCAGGGTTATGTTGGCGGCGGTGCGAATAGTGCTTTCCATCGTCAGGCGAGCGGTTTCCATCATGGTCATCATCAGGTAAGTGGAGTAGAAGTGAAAGAGTAAGATAAGAATATACGTGTATATATTATATAAAGATGGTTGGTTGTTGATGATCAAAATGCAGTCAATTGAGGGTGAGAACTGAAGGTGCAATGTGTGAGAGGAAAGAACGTGTTTTTGTGTCGATATGTCTGTGGCTGCGTTAGGCGTCACGATGAGCGACTTGATGCAATCAATGTCAGTTGGAAAGGTTAAAAAGTACCTTTTTTTGTATACGTATGTATGTGTGTATGTGTATAATGCTTGGCATTATTGGAAGACAATTGAAAGGTTAAAAAACGTGTACAAAGAAAACAATTGAAGTCGTAAGGAGGGAAAGAAAACAAAATGAAAGAATCACAAAACCTCTCAGGTGCATTGGAAGGTTGTGCGATCGATTAAAAAAAAAATATATATATACGAGTATATACATACCGTTTAGAATGTTAAGTATTTCAAGTGTCAGTTTAGATCGTTACTGAAATAAAACAAAATTTTCTAATTCTTTAAAAAATTATTCATTTTACGGTTTCGAAAGTAAGCGTGATTAAAATGCATTTCCAATTCTTTTTTCCTTGAATTTCCTTTTTTAATATAAAGTTTGAACCTCGACATTATATTTGAGTCCCTAACTGAATCAATCCAAAAAAAACGCCTTGCGAACATTCGCGATTTTCTATCCGTTTGACGTCATTTTCGACTAGTTTGCAGAGAGGGTACAATTTTGGTCGTCGTGAAGTTCCTTGTCGGACCGCAATACATTAATTGGTGGGAAAAGGGAGCTATTGCGACTAGGTGTGATGTGAAGGATAAAATAAGCGCAACTCAACAACAACTGAGAATATTGTTGTTATAGACCAAAGTGTTGAAAAGACAAATGTTTGCATTTGCAATTAAGCATTCTTCAATCGTATTTTGTATAAAGACTTAGGTCTTAAGGCCTATAGAGTTCAGTTAATATAAGAAATCAGGCCTGCGATCAGCAACAACGTCGTGTCGGGTCCTTGAAATGCATGAAAATGATCAAAAATGTCATCGAAAAATCATTTTGGCTGATGAGGCTCATTTACCCTTCGATGGCTACGCCAATTAGCAAAACTTTCGCATCTGGGGATCGGACAACCCAAGATTTATTATTACCTTCCAAATTTCCATCTTCAACGTCTTTATGGTCCGACCCCGCCGGGCTGTTGAAATCCCTCTTCACCCTCAACGTGTAAGTATTTGGTGCGGTTTATGGTCCGCACGACGGGGGTCATTGGATCTTAGTTTATCGAAAAAGAGGCCAGAGCAACAGTTGGATGTTATCGATCTGAAGAGCGTTTGCTTCCAAAAAGACGACGCTACGTGCCGCACAAGGAACGATATTTTAATGGAAATGGACCATGTTGTCTCTCCGAGATCTTGTTTTTTTAACACTTTGCGACTTCTTCCTTTGGGGCCATGTGAAAGATAAGGTCTACGATAACAGGCCAATGTCGATTCAAAACCTCAAAGATGGATTTCGTTAAGCTATTGAGGACATACAACAGCAGCCACTTTGCGATTTGTTGATGAAAATTTCATAAAAAGGATCAGGACCGTGAAAGCTTAGCCGTGGCGGCCATATTGGTGGATATTTTATCGTTTTCACAGAAGTAGGAGCGCACCAGACAGTAAATTTTTAATGGTATCTCTCTTTAGTAATTTGGGGACTCCCAGTGCACCTAAAACAAAACATGTTTTTTTTTTTAACGCTAATTTTGATAGGTATACAGCTCTGTACCTTTGAAATCACGAAATGGATATTTTATGTATTTAATAAAAATCTATATACTTTTAGGTTATTTAACTATAATAAAATTTTCAAGTTTGATCTACTGAAACTTTTTTCAATATTTATATTTCTGTCGAAATTTGAAAATATTTTCGTAGCCATCTCCCTATCTCCGACTCTCTAACTGCTAGTGTCTGACACTGCTTCAAGTCGGATGTATGCATATGTATATATACATACTTATATGTATGTATGTATATATACATACTTATATGTATGTATGATTACTAAGCACTCGTCCGTTAAGGATCATCAACTAAATATACTACATGTGTCAAGTGTTTTCTTTTTGCTTCAACTGGCAGACGAGAAGACATACGTGTACATGCGGACCAAGTGAAATCAAATCAAATTCAATTCAAGCAAAAAACAAAGCAAAAAAAAAACAAATCTTAAGTGTTTGTTATTGTTCTTGTAGTCGTTGTTTACATAATATTTCAGAATAAAATCAGAACGCGAAGCACTTTTATGTATAACACATATTTACATATATACTTTTGTATGTATGTCGGTAAGCCAACCATACACCTCTTTATACTCCCATATATATTTTTTTTTCTCATACTTCATACTTCATTTTAAAAAGTGGTCTTAAAACTGGTTATACATAAGTAAATATGAACGCATTTTGAGCTCAAAGTTTTCTTGGTGCTTCCCCCCGTCATCGGCTCTTTGTTTGCTCTCGTTTTTCATTGTATTTTGGTTGCTCCTCAACTAGCATTGTGGTATTTCGAACGCATCTTTTTCTCTTCACTTACTTACAAAGTTTCTAATTGAAGTGTTGTAATACCTTTTTCTATGCTTTTTTTCCACATGAATATTAAATGTTAGGTCTTTTCTTGGCTCTCGCTCATATTTGTTTTATAAATCTTGGTAGAGTAGTAGAGCTCGGTTGATTGTTTGTCTGTTGTCTGAGCCTGGTTGCTCCTTACTGAGTTTTTACGTTTAAAATGACTATTGGACTCTATATACGCTCGTCGGAAACTTGAAGACGTCTAGTTTTCTCTTGTTTCTTCAGTATAGATTCCATCCATAACATTTGGCTATTTTTGATTGACTCTAGTGAAAGATAGATTAGAAGAATAAAAGGTGTATCGACGGGATATTTAAGACCCACCCCACAGGGAAAGAAATTTCGCTCAGGGAATTCTCAGAAGTGTGATAACTGCATACCGATTTAAAATAAGATTAAAAAAAATTTCTGAGGTAGTAGAATTTTAGAGCGCAAGTTAGAACTTTTAAAGTATAAAATTTCCAAAGAAGATGATTTCGTTCGAGAAATTCAAAGAAATAGTCTTTGAGCCTTTGGGCTATCGTCAACCGAGTAGCATAATCCGGAGAGAAAAGTGAAAAATAAATCCTTTCCAGACAAGGAAAGTCAGTTGCGACTAGAATGAATGAGATGTTATTGGTTTATGGCTGCGTATCTAGTCTTGCAAAAACTGTGATGTACAAGAAGCAAAGTTTATTTAGTCCATTTTGGGGACGAAGTTAGTTGACCACGCCAGAACTTAGGCAAAAAGTTAAAAAAAATTGTCATCGACTATGTTCGACTAAAAATGAGATGACTCGCAGAAATCTTTGGAGTGTGCTATACAACATTTTTTTTTTAAATCCTGTTCGATTATCTTGGTATAACTAAAGTCAGCGCAAGATGAATGTTGAGAATGCTCACACCATCGCAAAAAACAGAGCTGCGTACAGTGTTGACGTGCATTTTTGTAAACTTCTGCATGAATACCGATGAATGGAGAGAAGGATGGTGAACTGAGTCAAATTGTTACTAAAGATGAAACTTGGATTCATAATTATGAACTATAGTCGAAAAATCACTCATGTAATGACATAAAAAGATAGTCGATGAATTTCACACTAAGCTCATCCCTGGCTACCGGGACTATAACCTTTCCAATTGGGTGACGTACTTTCGAAACGTGATTCCCCAGTTGCTGTCCAATCAAGTAACGATCGTTTTCCGGTTTCGGAATGAATCGATCAATTAATTTTTCATCCGCTCACCCGAGCAGACGTTCTTATTGTTGATCAACAGTGAGCAAATGCGTCAATCAATCACTTTGAAGAAAGCTTTCTTATAGGTTAATGCTCATGTTCCACGGTGTTTTGGGAAGAATACGTTGAAAACAGAGCCAGCAAATTCTATTGGGCCCAAAGGCGGTTGCCACCTTTATATGGTGTTTTGGCTTTACATACATAAGTGTCTGTAAGACACATACTAGAAAATTGAGAAATGCCTGCCTTTGGAACAGATGCTACCTACTTACTAAAGGAGGCGCATGAGGACTACCTCTGAAGGTCCGTGCTACAGGAAAAGGTAATGAACGCAATAAAACTAGTGCCATACATTTGCTCAGCCCGAGGGGTTTCTAAGCACAAGTGTTATATATAGAAATCGAAAAGTAGTGTGAAACATAATCACGTACCATCGGGCAATGGCGGGAGGGGTCACAGGAAACGTCACGTTACGCTACATGCAGGAGGAGTAATCCCGGATAGGTAAAATATGGCTTATGGACGCTCCAGAAAGTATCGAGCAAAGCGTCTAAAGTTTCTACTCAATTTAGTGTAATTATCAATAATTTAATACATATGTATGTGTGTTAAAAAAAAGTATTTTTCTATTTTTAATAATTATTTTTGGCAAATAAACTCATCACGCTCACATTTGAGGGCTAAAAAAGCACGCCGCCTGAGGCACTTCAATCAATATCTATCACTTGGTCATTATGAAAATCGCTTAAATGCAATAATGTAAATTTTCAATATTTTCATATATGTATATGAGTGCATATGTATTGGTTCCGTTTGTTTGTTTATTGCGCGACATTAATCAAATATTTAGTTGTTGCGAAATTTCGCAAAATATTTCGATTTGCTCACATTAAAACTTGCAAATGCATATGCATAAGTATATATGTTTGTGTACGAGACAACAATAGAGATTAATTAAGTAAAATAATAAAACAAATCATTATGAAATGCAATCAAATGGGCATGCACATACATATGTACTATAATCGTATTTATAAGGGCTATACAGAAGCTTTTAACACAAATTTACATATATATACTATATATATATTGTATTTATGTACATATATATATATTTTTTTAGTAAAAATACAAACGTATTATGTACTTTTTTCTTTTTCTTTTTTGCTAT